GATGCGGGCAGCGCCGGAGGCCACCTCCCGGATCTGCTCCACGCTCTGCACCCGCGTGCCTTCCCGCAGCGCCTGGTAGAGCCACGTGTTTCGCCGGTAGAGGTTGAGGACGTGGCAGACGGTGGAGTCGGCCGTCTCCTCCACGGCGGCCGAGGGGATGTTGCAGACGGCGATTCCTGTGGAGGCACAAAGCACAACCGTGGCTCAGGGCGGGCAGCTCCGGCCACCCGCCCCACAGCAAAGCTGAGGGGCTCCTGGCTCTTCATCTCTGCATCACCCAACCAGTCCAGCACTTTTTTAAGCATCTGGAGTAACGTTTTCCAAGGACGTGCATGGTTTAGGTACAGCAGCCTGAAATCTCTGCAAACGCCAGAGTAATGCTCGAGGGTGCCCTGCGCCTTGGCATCTCTCTGGAGTAAGGACAAGTGCAGATTTCGGAGGCGATAGCTACGCAGGAGGAACTCCAGGCACAAAGGTTTGTTTTGCAACAGAAAGTCGTGTTCTTGTTTAGTCTAATCCACCCTCAAAGCGAATCGAACCGCACTGGCAGAAGTCACTCCTCTTCCACAATAAGCCTGTTCAACTGTTAAATTATTTAGGGAGCAATAATTTGGTTAGGGTTGGAAAAGACCTCAAAGATCATCTAGTTGGTGCACCAGGTTGCCATGGCAGGGCCAGCTTCCCCGTCCACCAACAAGTGCCAACCAAAACAGTCGACTTGAATCAATCAGTCAGCTCAAACAGTCAAGACTCGTGCCGGAGCAGCTCTCCCACCACGGCACCACCGCCGCACACCCCTGCCCTGGCCCGATAACGGACCTTTTGTTCCTTTGCCACAAAGGGTTCATTTTGAACTGCCCTGTCCCTGCTTGGAGCTGCAACTACTAAGTTCACAGAAGACACCTCCCCGACCACTGCCCTGTCCAGGCTCTGGATCCGTGTGTAAGGGTGTGCTTCGTTCCACGGCTATTCAGCACATGCTTGTATCCCACCGGATTCAATGTGCTTCAAACACACATTGGAAGATGGACGTGTATTTGAGTGCTTTACTGGGCTAGGGCCTTTGGGTTTTCCACCCTGTGGCTGATTAAAAGACCTACAGAAACTGGGAGAAAACTGACTGACCCTACAGAGAGAAAAAACCCACTGCCAACCAACCCCCAATGCCTGTCTGCCTCCTCTCCCTTTCAGGTGACGGGGACACGATGCTGTGGTGCCCATGAGCTCCTAAAGCTGATGCTCTCTCCTTTTCTCATTTTTCTTGCACAAAGGGAACTTCTGATGTACCTCGGCAACTTGAGTGCAGCCCAGAAACCACACTGACCGCCTGCCCAAGACCCTAACGAAGGAGGAGGGAGGGTTTCCCAGGAAGACCACAGTTTTAAGTATCAGGCAACTGCTCCTGCCCATTGGTAGGCAGAAGCCGTGGTTGTGGACGAGGGAAGAGAAGAGACAAGAAGGCTGGAGGGCGATGGGTGGCCCCGGCAGCGCTCCCCATCAGCCTGCAGCTCCGCCGAGGGGCCCCATCACCAACCCTGCCAGCACGTGTCCCTTTTCTCTTGCACCACTTGTTTAAGGAGATGGATGACCCCAAGCTGCCTTTCCCATGAGCTTCTTACGCTGTTATTTACTCTGGTGCCCCCAGGAGCAGGAGCTGTCAGCGCTGGGGGTTAAATACCCACAGCGGACGGTTCACCACCAGCATCTTGTTCTGGAGGTGTCTTCTAGTGGGTCAAAACTGGTCCCAGCAGCCCGGCCAGCGAGGCGCAGGCACCATGTTTAGACACTGGTCATTTATTGACTGCACAGTTTAAAAACTACCTTATGGAAAGCAGTACCAATTAAACTTTACGCTACATTTGTGGGTAGTCATTACATTTTCTACTCGAAACCACATCATTTGGCCACCCAATTTGCCAAGTATAAAAAGAAGGATTATACTGCAGTATCCCATTACTTTATTCGTTATGTTTTTCCTTTCTTGATGTTCAAAGCCTCAGAACATTGCTATAATGGATAATAACAATAAGAGTTAAAAACACGAAGAAACCATTACATTGAGAAGACACTGTTCTCCTCGAAAAAAAATAATTCACTATATTGAGAATTGCTTTTTTAGGAATGACTATTTGAAACTCTCTTATTGCAATTATCCTTGTAAAATGGCTCACGTGAAATGGCTGTAATTCTTCACTTCCCCAGAGATAACCTTTAATACAAGATATCCTAAACACTATTGTAGGCCTGCTTGATAGACTGAATCTTGGGATCAGATGATCAAAACCCGCTGTAACTCAGCTGCTAAAAATCACAGCTACAGTTAAGCTCTCCCAGTTGGGAGTGTGCCGATTGCCAAAGGTCTCTGTGACCATCCAAACCAGTATGGAAATCGGGTGGCCCCAGCACCGTCCGACAGCGACGCCACGCAGCCTGCACGCATCCCCAAAACCCAAGTGTGCAGAAAAATCCCACAGCTGGAGGTAGGAGCTCTTTCCTGACCTCCGTATTTTAGCAGCCCACGTAACATGCACCCCCAGGAAATCTTTTTTTCAAGTTCCTGAGGCACCTTTGATGAGACAGCAAAGGAGGCAGCAACAACCCAACGCACAATTCCTGCTCCACCATCCAACACGTCGCCTCCCCGGCGGTGTGAGAACCAGCTCAGATCAAGAGTCTAATCTTGCTCAACAAAATACAATAAAACACCCTTCCTCCAATTTTTCTAAAGCTAGATGAACTCTCCCATGCCAGAAATAGAACAGCCATACAAATATCCATCAGTGCAAGTGGGTACCTGGAATTAGGGACAGTGTGGGAACGAGGGACTCGGGGCAGTTTTAACATAGTATGAGCCTAAAAACTGCCTTCTAAAACTGCACCGTTTTGTTTACTTCATGGTCAAGTTTTCTTGCAACAATATTCTCTACATGTAAAAAAATGTAAGTGGCACCTGTGATTTTAAGGGCTGAATCAATCCCCTTTGGGAGGTCCTGCCTGCAACTCCACTTTGCCAGCACGGTCCCCCAGAAGCAGCAGGTACTTGTGCTGATTTTAAAGACTTGGAGGGATGTGGGAGGGAATCGAGGTGCAGAGCTGAGACCTACCAAGCTCCCCTGCAGCTTTGATGTCAATGTTGTCGTAGCCACTGCCTATTCGAACAATGACCCGTAAGGCCTTGAACTTCTCTAGATCTTCTCGAGTCAGCGTGATGGTGTGGTACATCATCGCCCCAACAGCTTCATTTAATACCTGGAACAGAACAGAGACGTCAGGAGCCACCAGGACACCTGGAGGGGACGCCTGCAGCTCCTGATCAGGAATATTCCACAGTAAATTGTTCATTTTTACTGCTGACCTACTATCTGATCCAGGCACGGTGCAAGCCAACACTTCCAGGTGTCACCAAAACCATCAGAGGTGTGACCCATGGACACCAAGGTCATCCTCTTTGGGAACAGACTGGAGAGATACCTGAAAATTATTATGTTACATCGAGACAAGACAGAGGAAAACTGAGCCGGTGGCTCACCTGGACCCTTTTCCAGGCGGTTATCTGCTAATCCTTCTGCTTCCAACCAGCACTAATTCTGCTTTCAAAAAGGAAATAGGTTTTACAGCAGTATCTATTATTTTTGAACATGACCGTGTGTCACTCGTAACTCCTCAACCTTCTTTTACACGTTGGAAATTCAAGTACCTTTCACACTGTTCACATTAACCTTTTCTGTGTCTTTCCAAGAGTACCTAAAAAGCTCTGCGGGAGGCGGTACTTCATCCCCTTCAATGAAGATTCAAACCTTCGTTAGTGCTCACCGTAAGCTACCTCAGTGCTCTGGAAACCCAAGACCTATCCAAACTATCCAAGACTGGCTCATTTATCAATGTCTCATAAAAAAACGCATTTAATATGTGAAGCAGTGCAAAGATCAGCACTGATGCTATTTGTAGCTCTTTCTCCCAGATTCTGAACGTGATTTCTGATCCCTTCAAACCTCATTTGAGTTATCTAAATGTGCACAATCTTAAAACAAGTATTTAAAATTAGTGAAGCTTTCAAGCAGAAACACACATCCGCACTGCACGGATCTGCCTGCACGCTGCCCAAACCTCACCTGCTCTCTGTTGGGGAGAAGGGAGCTGCTGAGGTGCAGCCAGCACCCGAAGAGACCCAACATGTGCAGTGCAGGATGGTGGTAGCAAAGCCAGAGCAACTGCACTGCACCCCAGGGAGGTGCAGAGTGCTGTTACTGCTCCACCGAGCAAGCAGACTTCAAAAAAATGAGACACGTTAATAATACTGATGTAAAAAAGGTGATGCTAAGAGATAAGGTGGCATTTTTTTTTTCCAAAATAACATCTGGCTTTTGCAACAGCCTCGCTGAATTTTAATCTGCAGTGACTTCTGTTGGTGTTATCTGTTATCTGCTGATCAACCAAGGGCAGCTTTGTGCACTTTTTGCTCCGGAAGACTCGGAAGGGCAGAGCACCCCGCTGCCAGCCCGGCCCGCGCCCTCGCAGCTCACGTTACCTTCTCGTGAATCTCCTGAGTTGATTGTGCGTCACAGAATGCAACCGTCGCCAAGTCCTTCAAAATGGGCATCTCCACCGTGCAGTCCCTCCCGTCCAGCAGCGCCACCAGGGGCCGGGGGTGCATGGGGCCGTTCATGATCTGAGGGCGAATACCTGCAAGCAGAAGGAACGTGGGTTTTACACCGGCGGCAGCGGGAAGGTCTCCCCGGCGGCGGTGGTACCTGCGCACGGCTTCTGTGTCGAGTGAGGGGTGGCGGCACCGGGCTTCAGGTTGTACAACAAATGCCAGGGGATGATGGCAATGCAAGGAGAAGTTGAGCACAGGTCCAGATTTCCTTCGGGGGAGTATGGCTGTGGTTATTCCCTGGCTGCTCCAGGACAGGGATGGACAAGCCCATTTCGGCCACCTGTATCTCCGCTGTGCCGATCCTCACCGCCACAGTCCCCGGTTCAAGCAAACCACCTAAGCCAGGGCTGCCGGCCTCTTCAACCGTTTCTTTAGCATCTTAGGAGCAAAACCCAAGCCAGCAGTAATTTTTTCCCTTGCCTACAGGAGGGCAAGGATTTTGTTCCTCAGACTTATGCTGGCACTTGGTCCGTTTTTTTAAGGAATGACTTTACCATTTTGACCACCTCAGAAAGACAAGTCCAAACAGACATCCACTGAAAAAAAACAAGATTATTGGAAACATAACAGAAAGAGCAGGACACTGAAGACCTCCTTAGCACGTAGACATATATTCTGTTATATTACCAACTACCAAAAGGCTTTAAGGTGGGAGCGGCAAAGTTCAGCTTCCTTTGTAAAACCAAACCCAGCCTGTCCCTGCATCCCACAGGATGCTCTGGATGCATGGCTAGAGCCAGCGTGAAGGACCTGCACACATAGGATGAAACAGCCGCAGACCCCGCTCACCGCAGCAGCGGGTACGTGAGTGCCAGCACGGG